GAGTTTATTCAGGTTACTGAATACAGAATAAATACAGGGAAAAAATGGCATTTGTATTCACCATTAACAATCAAGACACCATTTACCTCAACAAGAAAAGACTTTTAATTTTGAAATAAATTTTATAAAGTTGTAGCTTGAGATATTACTATGTCTCATCTACTTCAACTATATAATATTATAGCCAGAATAATAATGGCCAAAATTTATTGAGTGCTTACTTTATACCANAAATTATAAAATTGTGAAATTTATTAAATGTCATAAGAAAGACATTAAAGACCTAAATAATTTTTCTAAATATGCTAAGTTCTCTGATAGAAAGTTAGAAATATAAAAAAGATGACAGTTCTATTCTGGTTGAACTAAATATTCAAAACAATTCTAATACATCCCATATGGTTTTCCATAGAAATTAAGAAATCAGTTAAAATTATATTCTTGACAAGAGGCCAGGAATAATCAAAGCATTCCTAAAGAACACCAAAGCAAGGGGGCCTTTTCTACCGATATCGTCATTTATTATTATAAGCTATTAAGACAGTGTGATCTTGGATTAAGGACAGATAAATAGACCAATGGAACTGAATATAGAACCAAACACAAACTTTAATATGTATGGAAACTTGCTTTTTACAGATCAGTGGGGAAAGATTAGACTGCTTGATAAATGATGCTGAGATGATTAATTATCCATGTGGGAGAAAATCAGATCCCTATTGTATTACCATTCCCTAAAGTCAATTCCAGGTGGATTAACGGCTTTACTATGAAAGGCAACTCAATAACATTTTAAGAAGACAATATAAGAGATATCTTTTTAGGATTTCAGGGTAGAGAATAATTTCTGAAACATGACACAGAAAGGGCAATCCATAAAGGAAGAGATTCACAAATTCAACAACATAAAAACTGCAGAAGATATTTGCAATAAATGGCTAAAAAATGATTGATTTCCAAAATGTAGTAAGAATTTCTCCACATCTAAAAGAAAAAAATACAAGCAAAAAACATTAGCAAGTATTTTCACATTTGAAAAAATTCTCAATTTCATTAATCATTAGGGAAATGAAATTTAAAATCACAAAATGATATTATTTCACATTCACTATGTTGACCAAATAGGTTAGATATTACTAAGTACTATTTTTATATATTGCTAAGAACTGCTGGTGGGAAGGTAAATAGCAAAAGCAATTTGGAAAACAGTGAGGCATTACCTCACTAATACAAGAATATTTAGAACAGCATTTTCATAAAAGCAAAAAACTGCAAGTAGCTCAAATGTCCTTCAGCAGTGGAGTGGACCAACTGTGATGTATTCAGGCAATGGAATACAGCACAGCAGTGAACATGAATGAGCTGCGGTTATGTGCATCAACGTGGATGAATCTCAGAACACAATACTGAGGGAATGAAACAGACAAGGGATAAATGTAGTAGCACTTCATCAACATAAAGTTCAAAAACAGGCCAAACTAAACAAAATATTGTTTATGGATACATCACAGGTGATAAAACTATAAAGTAAAGCAAGGGAATGATAAGCATATAATTAGGGACAGTATGGGACAGGGGTGCTCTTAAGGAGAGGAGAACAGGCTTCCAAGGAATTGGTGATGTTCTGTTTCATAAACTCGGTAGTGGGTACATGGGAGTTATTTTACTGTTCTTCTTTGACTATACATATACATTTTATACATTTTCTCATGTATAATATATTTCACAATGAAATGTTCTGAATAATGAATTAGATCACCTTCAGGGGGCCCTTCTAACTCTTAGATTTTCAAATTCCATAAAATCCAGTCTCATTCGAAAAGTTGAAAATTGCTGAAATAATATGACAGAATCTTGGGCTTTCTGATCTAGATGTGTCCTCAGTTAGCCACCAGCCCCTTCGTCTTACAAATGAGCTCCAAAGAGCTGGGATAACTTTCTCAAAATCTCCCAGCACTTGAGTTCTAGAACAGGACCATGGACAAAGGTCCAATAACCTATGAAACAGTACATTGTTCACTGACACATTCCCGGGCTGTGTGCAAGGCTGCCTTCTGGGCCTTATATTTACACTGAGCATTTATTCTGAATTTGCTCAAAGCAGTTTTAATGTTGAATGTTCCATTCCATTGTCCATCCAAATGGCCTGCATTTTTTTAATCGATAGAATTCATTTTTTTTGATTCACAGAATAATGACAGCCCCAGGTGTATTAATTTCATGTCACTTCCATACTACAAACCCACTCCATGGCTTTCCTGTTATTTGAATGTCTGGCTCCACTCCACTTCAGATCCATCTGTCATACTGGTCCAGCTTGCCTTCCATCCCTGTGTTCCCCACTGCATTTCCAGGGACCCCTGAGAGACGTATCAACCTTTACATCCTTCCTACCAAAAACTTCCTCCTTCAGCTACTTGGGGGAAATGGAGGACTTATTGTTCCAAGTTTTCCTATGGTCTCCTGGATTACTCCACTGGGAGAGATGTCTCTGGGGGTGGAGTTGGCAAGGGAGACAAAGGAGAGAGGAAAAAAAAGGGAAAAAACAGGAACTGTTTCCAATGAGGTTGCAGGCCATGACCTAACTGATTCCACAGCCGTGAAGTCAATTGCTCCACCACCTGCACAGCCCAGAACAGCCTGTGCTCTGCCTTTGCCTGCTCATGAGACCAGCCATGATGTGATGTGATGAATTTTCATAACGCCTGATAGAAGATGACCCCTTCCCAGACTTCCGCCACCACCACCACCTCCCCCATACTCCTGCCTCTTCATAGGGGTGGTGTCAGGGGTCACAAGCGATACTCCACACTGAGTCTAAAATGTTTAGGCATATAGTAAGCCCTAAAGGAAGCTTTTCTTCTCATAGACTTACAGCATGTCAATTCTAAAAGTTCCACCTCTTCATTCTGCATAGGAGTGAAGAGAGGCCCCAGAGAAGAGAGGGTAAAGTTCACTGTTGTCCAGAAACTCAGTGGCTGTGATGACACCAGAGGCTGGGTGGTTTGACTGTCAGACCACTGTGTCTCCCACTGTCCTGAGCTGTTCCCCCATACGGTGACTTCTGGAACTGCCTCCTCCTCACTCAGCCTCACCCTTTAAGCCACCAGCCCCCAAAGGTGAACAAACACTTATGAAATATTCCTGGCATTCACTTGGCAGTCTCTCCCATTTTTAACCTGGCTGCTTTTGCAAAAGAATTTTCCCTGTTAAAGGTGAGGTAGTATTTGCTGGGATGTTTTCACTCAGTTCCAGGCTGACTGGTGATCATTTCCAGGTGATCATTGATCACCCTTGAAAAAGCTGACTTTTACTAAGTCCTCAGGAAAATGATGTAGAAACCCAGAATACCTGCTCATCAATGTGGACAAGAGGGGTGACTTTCAGATGGACTGTTTCGTAGTGGCCTAGCCAGCACCTGGCCTCTGAAAGGCAATCTAGGTAGAAAGTCAGTCCATCAGAGAGCAGCCTCAGAACCGGGGGAGCTGGTGACAGTATTTGAATGGGCCTTCCTCTGATTGCTAACCAGCCCCCTTCCTGGCCGGCGCATCGTTGCTTTAGCTGATCAGTACATTCGGTGGGTTACTGCAGTTCTGCTGGCCCTGTGAGCCATTTATTCCCTTAGAAGAAACTTTGCCTCTTTCTGCTCTGCCCATCATGCATTGATTTCAAGCTCCTTACGGGAAAATCTTATTTCTCATATTTCTAAGTCTTTCAGTGCGGGTGGAGCTCACATAATTCAATTGTTCAAACACCTATAAATCTACTTGTTTTTCTATTTTGTCCTACATTTATTTCTCCCTATTATCCAAAAGAATATTCCAAGAGACTTTATGAAATGCCTTGTAAAATCCTGTTGCGTCTCTGTTCAAAAGCCATCAAAGCAATTGATCATTTTTGCAGCTGAGTGATGGAGAATTATTACAATCTTCTCCCATTTTTGTATATGTTTGAGATTTTTTTCTAAATTTTTTTAAACTAGTAAAAGAACCATCCATGGCTCCTCAGTATCCTGCAAAACCTAATCTTAAGCTGAATTCAGGCCCTCCTCCAACTGGTCTGAGCAATCTTTTCCTGCGTTACTTCCCACCACTTCCTACAAACACCACCCCTACTCTAGCTCTAGCCTCCACACAAATATCACTTGCACCTTCCCGCCTCTGTGCTTGGGCTCATTCTGTTTCTTTAGTGTTCAACTCAGATGCTACCTCCTCTGAAAAGCCTCTCATGATCCCTTCCAACTGACAAGTCTCCACCTCACTCACAGTCCTTACTGCTTGCACCGGCTCCGTGGCCCATCACCTACGATATGGGGCTTTTTTTCCATATGATCTCTCTGCAGCATTTTTAGCTCTTTGAAATTCAGGGATTGGTTTTTATTATTCCTGCCTGGGAATAGACCCACCCCCCTCTTATGGCTATGGTGAGCGCAGATTCTAGACCTCAAATCACCCATCCCATTGCCATCCTAAGGTGATTCCAGGTTGGGATTTGGAGCATATGGTCTCCACACTGCTCTTCACCTGGCAAAGAATCATGCATATAGGAAGTACCCAGGAAATGTTTAACTGAATGATTCTTTTATTACATTCATATTTCCACCAGCTGTGCAGCCTTACGTGAGCCACATGGCACTAAACTTTTCATTCATGTATTGGGAGGATTGTACACCATCAGTGCTTCTTCGTGTGCATCAGAATCAGCCTAGTAGGGTGGGGGGGGAGATGCTGTTCAAATGCAGATGTCCAGGCCCCAGTTCTAGGGAATCTGATTCAGTCCCAGGCATCTGCATTGTAAGAAGCTTCTGGGGTGATTCTGATGCTAGTGGCCTACTGGCCATTCTTTAAGGAATACTAGCCCCAAAGGCCTTGAAATCTGACATGCTACCATTCTCTGGTCACTCATGACACAGACACCAGCCTTTCCCCCAGTGAGGACCTTCTGCTTACAGACCCTCCCTGGACTCATCCTGCCCTTGTTTCCCTCCTTGTTTCCCCAAGTATGTGGCTGTGGCCTGGCCCAGTCAGGCTTCTTCTTCAAGAATCAGGAGTACATCTGCACCCAGGACTACCAGCAACTCTATGGCACCCGCTGTGACAGCTGCCGGGACTTCATCACAGGCGAAGTCATCTCAGCCCTGGGCCGCACCTACCACCCCAAGTGCTTCGTATGCAGCTTGTGCAGGTGAGAGTGTGACCAGCCGGGGCTGAGACCCTCTGCATAAGCCCCCAGGGCAGGGGAAGACCTGGCTTTTTCCCAGAAGTCCTGGGGTTTACAAGGTTTATGCTGGGCATTTAGATTTCTGGAGGCTCAGGTGTGAAAGGACCTGACTTAAACATTGTAGCATCTGAATCTGTCTTATAAAAATACAATCCGATCTAAAACACTCATGTGTCCTATGATAGAGGCAGAGTAAGGATCTGCATCTCCAAACTCAGCCTCCCAATCCTTCCCAAAAGGCCCCCAAAGAAACCACTGAGTCTCTCAGAACTCAGTTTGGAAACCGTGGACCTGGCCCAGCCTCCCACACCCTCATCCACAGATGGGACAGGGATAGCTGTTTATACCCTTCCTCCATCATCCTAGCACCACCTTGTGCTGTTGGGGTGACCCTGGCAAGTGATCCCCAACTCTGTAAGCCTCAGCTTCTTGACCAGTAAAATGGGGGCCAAAGCCATTCCAACCTCATTGGGTTCTCTTGAAGATCAATGAGTTGGTGATACAAAGGCGTTAGCTCAGTAACCAGTATGTGAGAGCGTCTGTTTTTATTACATGATGATAGTCATCTACCTCCTCTCAGGACATCTCCAGGGATGGAGAGCTCATCCCTGCCTCCTGCTTCACCCTCCGCATCTCCATCACTTGTTAATTCAGCAAGTGGACATTAAGACTCCACTGAATGCCAAGCAACACATTAAGGAGATGAAAAAATGAAGGAAGTTCGGCCCTGCCCACAAATACATTAAATTTTAATGGACAGCTCTGATGACATCATAAGTAAAGCATGATTAGAGTATATATGTATTTTTTAATTGGAAAAGGAATGTGCAGATTAATTATTCTCCCCCATAAAATAACCACCAGTCAGTTACCAGTCAGAATAACTAGTTAGAGTTTCTAATTGAGACTAATGACAGAGTACGTAAGAAAACATAATCCCCTCGTGGAATTCACTCAGCTACCCAGCTCTTAAAACCTGAGCCCTGAGCCCTGGGATCCCAGACCCATCAGAGGTTAGCACAGAGCATTCCTATGGTACAAGATGGGGTTTCTTTCCAGCCCCACAGAGATGAGGTGACTCCTGATGGTCACGCGATGTCTTTCTACCACAAGCTAGTGGCTGGGCCACCATAAGAACATAGCTCCCCTGACTCTCACCCCAGTGATCTCTCCATCGTGCCACAGTGCTAATACAAGGACAGTGGAGCCCCTGGGGGCCGATGTTAGGTGCTGTGCTCAGAATCCTCATAACAGGCATCCCAGCTGCATCGGCAAGAGCAGCTCAACAGCAGGCATGGTGGTGCCGGGGATTCTATATTCGGTTCATAATTTAGTTGAGGAGGCAGAGCATGTACAAATTTGAGACTCCTCAGCTGTGGAAACTGAACAAATCCAGAGGAGGAGAGGAAGAGATTATTAACAGACTTACACACTTCCTATTGAGAAGGGAGATTTTGGAAAATGCCTGAGTAGTAAAAGGAGGAAATCTTGGTAAGTTTGGGAGGTGAATGAATTCTTGACATAAGGGGATAGATCAAATTGGGATGGAAAAAATCCTTCCAAGAGAGAGAACAAGTATACGAGGAGTTAGTAACCTCTATTTCTTATAGCTGAGGCATGTAAGCTCAGATAAGCATCATGATCTGCCCAAAATATACAAGCAGCCCAACTGAGCTCCAGTTCTGGCCGCTAGGCCCCTAATTGAGCAGTTTAGTTGGCCTGTCACTGTGAACAGCATTTGAATTTGCATGGTGCTCTACAAGTCAAGCTGTATGTGTTACCAAAGTGCTTTGAGCACATCTGTGATCAGCTATGGAATCCCTCAGAAGAGGGTGTGCTGAATTTCTCCCTCATCTCACTTGTAGGAAGCCTTTCCCCATTGGAGACAAGGTGACCTTCAGTGGTAAAGAATGTGTGTGTCAAACGTGCTCCCAGTCCATGGCCAGCAGTAAACCCATCAAGATTCGTGGACCAAGCCGTGAGTCCTCCCCACGGGTATCTCCTTGTCCATGGGTGTGATCTCCCTGGGCTCCCCTATCCTAGCACTGCCAACTGCTCCCATGGGCCTGGAGGGTAGTCAGGGAGGTTCTCAACCTGGAGGCCTCCTGCATCATGACCCTGTAGGCATGTGGCCCAGACTCACAAGCTTCACAAGCACAATGCGGGAAGAGAGGCTGCCTGGCCATAAACAGTGGTAGCCAGTGTCACATATCTGCCACATGGTATGTCTCCTCTGGGACAAGCTGAGTTCCTGATCTTATGTCCCACAGATTCCTCAATAGGGCTGATCAAGTGTTTTTTCACCAGTGGCTCTCAATTTTTACCAACTCCACTAATAAGAATTTGTAGACATGACTTATAGAAGAGGTAGTATGGGGTGCCCTGGGAGCAAACCACAAGAGCTGTGTTAGTGCCTCTTAGGGTATTCCATAGACAATCAGCTAGAAAACCATAGTTCCAACAGCTTCACTCTAGGATTTGTAAAAATGCAGGCGTCTGAGCTCACCCTGTACCCCTAGGGATGGAACCTAGGAATCAGCATTGCCAGTAAGCTTCCTGGGTGATTCATTTTCTGTTCCTGAGATTCAGAACCACTGTCTAGGGATAAGGGGAGCATCTGTCATACCATGGTGAATATTATATTTTATCACCAACCACAGATTTGGAGGGAAACTGAGGATGAGGAATGCACCTCCAAAGGTTGTTATTTCCCCTGGTTTGGGTCATTCTAATTTGTGGGATGTCCATTCCACTCAAGTGCACCTAGTAATAAGATGTCTAAATCACTGTTCCCGGACGCCCTTGTCAGGCTGCTGCTGCACATGCCCACACACACATAGACCCAGCCCCTGGGTCTCAGTCAGCCATGCTAGGCTCCAGTGTTCTTTCATGTTATATGACACTCTCACTGGCCTCGATGAGAGAATCAATGAAAACCCATTAGCCTCCTATGTTGCACTGTGCGGGTGCGGGGTGCTGTTGGCCAAGGCACCAGCAGAGTCAGCATGCTGGGCTGCATCCAGCCGGAGAGAGTGAGCAGAGATCACCCCGAGTCAGCAAGGCTCAGCTCCCAGAGGCTCCCCTGGAGTGCATCCAGCCATGGTGAGCTGAGGAGAAAGGCAGTGGGAAGGCTCCCTCCCTTGCCTGCTCTTCCTTTCAGCCAAATCAGATCTATTCCTGGAATGTGCAGAGCCCTTCCTTCGACGTCCTTGATGATGCTCAAGAATAGATTACTGTACCAACCAGGTTTCCATGTCAAGGTGGCTGAGTGCATACAGTGTTATCCTTCACAGCTCCTTGAAAGCGTCATCCAGAGTGACAGAAAAACAAGGAGGCTGGGATGTGGGATCACATCCCTGTGGCCAGTGCTACTGAGGACCCCAGAGACCGACGGGATCACGTGTGAGGCAGGAGAGGGAGAAGTGAGCCCGAGTCGGGAGGCTGCCAAATGTCTGCATGCTGCAAAGCAGTCATGAAGCCTCCCTGAGACTCAGTTTACCCAGTATGAAAGAGGGATGGAATTTCCATTCTTCCTTACAGGAGTGTTGGGGAAACCAAATGTACTAGTTCAGGCATCAAATTAACACATATTTCAGTGTGTAAAATGCTCTATAAATACAGAGTGAAGGGTGATGTTGGCATGGAGGTTTAATATAGAAAGCACACCAAAAGAGGTTGAGAAGGAGACTCCTAGGTCTGTTGTTATTTCCCCTGGTTTGGGTTGCGTGTTACTGTGTGCATTTGTGCTACACCCATCACCTACTCTGTTAGGTGGGAGATTTCTTCAGCTGAGTGTGGGAGTCTCACATATGAGTATGTTTTCAAAGAGAGGCTCCCAAAAGTCTCCACTATAATTTGGATGATTAGGAGGTGGAAGAAGGTGAGGAAAGAGTGAGTCAAGAGAAGCATATAAGCACATAGGCAGTTTCCAATGGGGGCATACTTAGTATTATAGCTTATCTTGTTACTCACAAAGTAAAGACATCAATCCGTGGATCTACAGTGGTATGTTTTATAGAGGTGGTCACTGGTCATGCTGCAAATGCAAAGTAGCTCCTGACTAGACAGGGTGTTGAAAGGTCTCCTCAGCTCCCATGGGATGCAGGAAACCAAAGCCAGATTTAAGGGATTGCTAAGAAAAAGAACATAGCATGGAAAAGGAAAAGAAGGACAAAATAGTTGGGTGTTTTTTAAGCTGTAAGTGTGACGTTTCATCTCTGGAGAGTAAATACAGATATTCTGGAAAATCAGGAGCAGCGTCTACCCAAAGAGACCAAGAAAAATAGGAACTGTCAAGAGGAAATAATTTTGTTACCTACCACAGGAAGAAGAAATGTCTTCTCACCAACCTCACTAAGAAGAATCACCAATGGTAGCAGCAGAAACCCCACCTTCACCACCACCACCACCACCACCACCATCACCACCACAATAACCATCATCGTTGCAAACATTGATTGACTGTTACTATTTCCAGGCACTGCACAGACCTCAGTGAAAAGAATCAGCAGCAGTCTCAGCAGCAGCACCACCACCACCATCACTAACGTCACCACCATTGCCATCACACCACCACCATAACCATGATATCATAACATCACCACCATCACTACCATTGCCATCACCTTCACACCACTACCCTCACCATCATTATCACTAACATCACCAGCATTATCATCACTGCTACTGTCATCACCACTATCATCACCGCCACTATGTTCACCATCACCGCCATCATGACCAATACCATCAATGCCACCACCACCATCACCACCAACACCACCAATACAATCATTACCATCTCCCCACCACCATCACCACCACCTCCATCACTACTACCACAATAGCCACCCAACATTGCTAACACTGATTGACTGTTACTGTTGCCAGATACTGCAAAAACCTCATTAAGAACAATCAGAAGCACCATCACCACCACCATCCTCACCATCACCTTCTCCACCATCACCACCAACACCCATGTCTTTACCAGTACAATCACTACCATCACCACCCTCATCACCATCAATACCATTGTCACCACCAACACAATCATCACCATCACCAACACTACCATAATCACCACTATTACCACTATCACCAGCACCAGCAGCATCGATACCATCACCACCATTATAATTACCACCATCACCGTCACCACCATCACCAACAACACTGTCACCACCAACAATACCACCATCACCAACAATACCACCATCACCATCACCAGCATTAACATCAATTATTGCTATGGTCAAGCACTTCAGTAAGTGTTTTATACAGAATATTTCATTTAATCATTACAACAATTGGATGAAGGAGATAAGAGTAGTTGTTTTATAGATGAGAAAACTGAGACTCAATGAGCATAAATGACTTGTCCAAAGTCACCCAGATAATGAGTAATGAAACTAGAATGTGAGACCAGGCAGTCTGGCCTTAGATCCTATTCCCTTAACACCCTGTACCAAAGACATGACTTGCAAGTTGGGAAGTATCTGGTCTTCCTGGATTCATTGCCTAAAACAAGGTAGGGAGCTTGCTATGACTCACAAAACCCACTCATTTTTTCTGATTTAAATAGAATGAATGACACAGTCTAAAAAGGCTAAAAATGGCAGTCTAGCGTCTTTAGGAGGCCTCAGTTTATAACGGAGGGATCTGGGAGGGACAGGTGGTAGCACCATACATTCTGCCAGCTGAAGATTGTAATTTTGGAATAGAGGGGAACATATGGAGGAGTGGACAGCTGGCTCTGCAGACACCAACTTGGAACAGGGTGTGGTTTTCCTGATTCTATTTATTACACCAGACCCATGGGCTCCCGAGTGCCATGCCTGAGACTCCACTGGTGGTCAAGAGTGAAAGGAGGAAAAAGAGAGAGAAAAGGTCCTAATAAATAAGAAGCTGACATAATGCGGAGCAGCAATATAACATGAAAAGGAAAGACACATGGAGAAAACGTCCCAGAATTCTCACAGGAAATCAGCAGGCTTCCCTACAACAGGACTATCACTCCTGACTTCAGAACAGAGATTGGGGAATGCACAGAATGTGGATTAAAAACAGGAGAATGTGAAATAATATGACAACAACCACTTATTTGATACATCTGGACCAAGCATTGTGCTAAGGCCTTACGGGCCTGATTTTAATTAACCTTCACACCAGTGTTATAAGGGAGATATTCAGATGAGCAAGTCTGGACTTAGAGAGCATACAACTCATAAGGAAAGGAGCTGGGATTCTCTCCTAGGCCAACTTCCCACCACTCACTCCAACCTTCAGTCCAGCCTCTAACCACTGTGCTGTACTATCTCCTACAGCTTAACTCAAGGCGCTAAATCATCTCAGATGTACCACTGAAACGTGGAGAGATAGGATGCATTACCAGAATGTGGCCATGAAAGGATACAGCTATGCAATAAGTTTTTTTGATAAAGTGGAGAATTGTGCTGTTTGCCAATAACATGTCTGTCTCCGTGGAATCCACAAGTAAATTTGATCAGTGGATGACTATGTCAAGCAAGAAAAAGTATAAGGAATGAAGAAGAGAGAAACTATAGTTGTCTTTAATTATTTGAAAGAACTGTCATATGGGAAAAGAGGTAGATTATTCTTGATGCATAAGAATAGGATCAGTCAGAGTGTTATACAAGAAAACTCAAATGCAAACCACAGTTAGTATCTCACACACACACACACACACACACACACACAATGGGAGTAGTCACAGGAGTCGAGTCTCAGCTCCATGTAAAGAAGACAGTCATGACAATCATACCTGTCCAAGGGCGAGTGGACTTCCTCAGGAGAGGTTGACCTGCCCACTACTGGAGGTGATTAAGCAGAGGAGAGGTGCCCACTTGTCAAGAATGCTGTAGATTCCTGCATTGGGTGGGATGTTTGACCAAATACTCTGTGAACTCCAAACCCCTGTGGAATTTCTAGGCCCTGTTGGGGAGGCCCATAGAGATACAAATTCAGTATTAGTGGCCTAGAAAGCTTGAGCAGGTGTCTACAGTCTTGGGTTCCTCTAAACTGAGCTTTGGCAAGTCATTTCAGACCCCTGTCTATCTAGAAAAGAGAAGAGGGTACCTGACCTCTCTAAATTATTGCATTCTGAAGTCTGTAATTATTGGGCAGGGGGTGGAAGTAGACTTACAGACTTACCCTAGGAGAAAAGAAAAGAAAAGAGATAAATCTCAAAATTCTTTATTCTCCCAGCCCCCATCTGAAGGCCTGAGGCTTGAAGCATTTTGCAAGTAGAGACCTTCTGCCCCCAACTTGCACTAAGGGATGTTAGAAAGACACACAACAGCCAAGAGGCGTAGTACTATGGGAACTGACGCATGCAAACACTTCATCAGGGCCCCAGACCCTCCCCACAGCCTGCGGGGCCCACCACCCTTCCTGGATTTGCAGACACATCATCTTTTCTTCTAGGACTGGCTCCCAGCTGGATGTAGGGGCTGTCCAGTCAGGATCCCCCAAATTTACATGCAGTTTCTGCTCTCCTCACTATTCCAAAGTGTGCATTTGTCTTATGGTGCCAACAGGGAAGTTTGTCCTCTGGTCAACTTTGCCCCATGACCCTTTCCTCCTCCAAAGTGGGCCATCCGGTTGGCTAGGCCTGAATTCCCAGCAGTTCCCAAGTGCCTTGGACATTGGCTCCATTTCCGGACCCTCCCCAGACATTCATTGAGCAACAGGCTGATGCTAGGCTTGGCCCACATCCCGTTGGCCCCAACTCACATTCCAGAGTGACCGTGACAGGGATTGAGGGCACCTTTCTGGTTTGGGACAGTCTCATCAGACTCTATAATCTTTGCCACCTGAGAAGGCACAAGTTCGACGTTTGAATGGAGAAGGGCTAAGTGTGGTAATTCTGTTTATTGCCTGGGTACCATCAGGCCCCTTCATTCATACACATTCAGCAAATATGCTTTGAGTTTCTGCTATGAAACTGCTATGCTTTGTGCTAGGCAGAGGAAAAGATTTAACCACAAAATATAAACACAGTCCTTGCCATTGAGTATATAGCCTAAGGGTTTGAAAAACTGTATGCTTAGCCCATCCCCAGGAGCAGTGCTTCTTAAACTTTGAGGTCTTGTTAAAATTCAGGAGGTCTGGGTGGGGTCTGCGATGCTGTACACTGCCAGCTCCCAGGTGATGCTGACACTGCAGATGCCAAGGTCATGGAGAGCAGCAGAGCTTAGTTAGCAATTTGAGCAGGGCTGGAAGGAGTGCAGGGTCCACGTTCAGTGAACAATGTGGTCTTGATGACAAGCAGGGAGGTCTTTCTTTCTTTCCTACACCAAGACCCCTTGTCAAGAGGCCAGGGCTCCAGTGGCCTTTCCTCTCCCTCGGGAGAGCCTCTGGGCATCTGCCAGGGTCAGGATGGGAGCAACTATGGGAACACTGGCGTTCATGGAGGGGTTTCCTCAATGTGGGCCTGAGATAGCGGGGTCAAAGGGCCCAGGGTGCTTTCCTCAGCAGTGTCCTCTTATCTCTGCAGACTGTGCCGGGTGCAAGGAGGAGATCAAGCACGGCCAGTCACTCCTGGCGCTGGACAAGCAGTGGCACGTCAGCTGCTTCAAGTGCCAGACCTGCAGCGTCATCCTCACCGGGGAGTACATCAGCAAGTGGGTCCCCCCGCTCCCGCCCCAGCTGCCTGGGCCTCTGCATTCTGTGGGTCCTGCCCTATCAGGCCCGTGCCTGCATCTCCAGCATCATCTCCCTTCCTTTCCATCGTCTGCTGCACTCCTGCCAAACAGCATCTTTCCCAGCAGCCTCTTTCCCCCATTGGGAGCTCCCGGCAGGTTCCCTCTGCCTGAGACGCCCTCTCTGTTCCTCGCACACCTGCTGCCACTTCTCTCCCTTCTGGTCTTGGTCCCCATGCCCTCTCCTCAGGCCATCTCTCATTTATTGCCCATTATGGGCCCTCAGAGTACCTTGTTTGTTTCCTTCACACTGGCAACCACCATTGGTAATTACCTGTTTGTCCCTTGTAACTTTGTAATAATGCTAATAATACTAACTACCATTTATCGAGCTTTAATTATGTAGAAGGAACTCACTACTTTGCATGAAGTATCACTTTAAATCCTCATGACTGCCACTTTGAAGAATTTATCGCCTCTGAATACTCAGACTTGAGGGAGTAAATAACTTGGTCCAATAATAACGTTTAATCTCTGTCCCCACCAGGACAGGGGCTTTGTTTTAATCACTGCTATATCCCCTCCTAATAATATAGTTGCTGAGTGAATTTAGTGGAGAGGAGGTGATGGGTGCATAGAGTTCTCTAGAGGGGCCAACCTCCAGTGACCCACACACTGCACTATTAGACAAGTGTCCCCTTGTTTCTGGGCCCCAGTGACCACATTTATATACTCAAGTACCTGAAAGCAATTATCAGCACAGACCTTTGTCACAGCTTTGACACCATACGACCCCAGACGCTTCTAGGTGCCACTCTCTGACCTGATCTCAGGCAATGGCAAACACGCAGAGCTGCAGCCCACACCTGCTTCTGCTGTCAAGACCTTGCAGTCTAATGCGGGAAACAGATATGCTGCATTCATGAAGAATTGTGACACCAGGGAATGTGTGATCAGGAGCTCAGGCAAGCTTTATTCTTTAAGACCTGTTTGATCCTAAGTGACAGAAAACCTAACCCCGGCTCAATTAAAGGCAAAAATAGGAGTTTATTAACTCATAGAAATGGGAAGGCCAGAGGCACACTGGCTTCAGGCATGGATGAATCCAGGGGCTTAAAGATGTCATTAGTACTTCAGAAGTCTCTGCTTTTCTCTGTCTATCTTTTGGTCTCTCTCTCTCTCTCTCTCTCTCTCTCTCTCTCTCTCTGCTGTCTTCATGGTGGATTAGTTCTCAACCTGGCCCTCCGCAAGTGGTAGCAAAGAAGATGGCCAACAACTCCAGGCTTTCATTCCATCAGTTTACCAGGCCTAGCAGAGAAAGAGGCCTCTTTCCCATGGAACTCCAGCAAAAGTCCCAGAGCTGCCTCTGATTTGGCCACTGTTAGGCCACATGCCCATTCCTGATCAATCACTGGCCCAGAGGATCTGAACCCTAGAGCCAGAGAGCAGCCCTTGGTGACTGACGCACAGGGACCTCAACTGGGAAGGGGTGGCCTCCAAAGGGAAGGGCTGTGAACACTCAGAGAAAAAGAGGATGACTGCTAAGTAGCAGGAAGTAGAATCTTGAATTTCTCAGAGTTCCATGGAATGGGGTTAAGATTCGAAAATGCAAAGGAGGAGAGCTTCTAGGCAGAATGGCCAGCCTGGGCAAGACCAGGACGGTAGGGGAGTGTTGGACGCCTCCAGCCTGTGTAGGAGCTCAAGGATGTGCCTAGGTGAAGCAGGATCCTGGGCTGCATAGGTGAGCTGAGGTCACATCACCAAGCGCTCTTGATGCCATGCTAGTGGGAGTTTGGCATTCCCCTCTATGCCCACCAAGCAAGGAGTGCCCTTAGTACATTGCTAGCCAGAAGTGCTACAGTCTGGAAACCTAAATCAGAATTTTCTGGGGACTTAGGGGTTGTTCAGAGCTTCTCTCAAGGAGGCCCAGCCCAGATTGCCCACCACACCTGGTGCCTCTACAGCCTAGCTCTGGGCCCCTTACCTGGCTGCTGGCAGAGTGGCAGGGGCTCAGAGGCACTGGCTCAGGCACCAGATGCCCAGGGTGAAAGCCCAGCCTGTGTGACTTTGGCAAGGGACTCCACTGCTCAGAATTTCAGTTTCTTCATTTACAAAAATGGAGAGAAGATAATCTACCCTGTAGGGTTGTGTAAGGGCTCAGAAATCTGTGCTTAGCACCTAATAAGTGCCCAGTAAACACTCATTTTACCATCTTCCTCTTTTTAGAATTGTGTATTTCTAATTCCCCAAGGCTTCACCAACAACTGATCCAAAAGAGACTGTGTTGGCATTTATACCCAAATTTTGTTGGCTTTAACATCCACCTTCTGACAAATGACTTTTTCTCCCTGCAGAGCTACCCTCCCGCACCCACAGAGTGAGAACCTGATTTAGCGGGGGGTGGAGTTGAAAGGGTTGGGGAGGTGTGTCTCATGGGATCACAAACAAGTCCTTGCCTTGTGAGCACAGTCATACCTCCAGACCTTGGTCGGGCATGAGTCCTCACTGCTGCTCCTCCTTCAGGAAAATGCTGCCCAGGGTGGGCCCCCAGCAACCTCAACATGGCAACAGCTTCGAGATGGAAAAGTGATGTGCCCCTCCTTTAGGGTTCTCAGTGTCTGAGCCAAGTTCTCTTACACCCAGAAGTGAAGGAAAGGTTTCTCTCTCCTCAGAGTTCAGACTTGGCCATTAGAGCGAGGCAGGGCCCAGAAGCTAGGCTGAGCTCTCTGATACCCTCAACTATCTTTATAACAGTCCTAAAGAACTGAAAACCAAACGTCCTCCAAAGAAGCCTCTCCGTGATCATAGCGATTCCTCCAACTGCCATTTACGGAGTACTCAGTATGGCAGAGCAATGTCCTGAGCCCTAGGGTACCGTAGACCCGTCTCCTTTAATCCTCATGACAACCTGGGTGAGAAACTAGACCACCTGGCTTTGAATCCAGGCTCTAGGTCATCCTGGGTGGCCTGAGACAAGTTACTTAAGTGCTCTATGCTTGGATTTCATCACCTACGCAATGGGGATACCAATAATTCTGACTCATAGGATTGTCAGAAGGATTAAATGAAATAATCTGTAAAACACCATCAAAGAGCCCAGCACACACCAGCAGTAAATGTTAGTGGCTATTAGTCATCAGGGGTGGTATACGAATAAGTGATAACAATCTTATCACTGTCTGCTAAGTGCTAAGCATTGGGTAAAAATGGAGCACACAGGAGGTGGTCCCAGGAGGCTTCCTATCATCTACTGGTCTGGGAGCACTGTCAGATGATTCTTTCACTACAGATGAAATTGTTTATTAAAGGAGGAGCCTCAAACTTTGGCTCGGCCACCACGAGCTGCAGGTCCTGAATCTAACTGCCATGTGGCACCCTCACTGATCCTCCCTAACTTCCTCACCCTGTGTCAACTTCTTCTTACAGGGATGGTGTTCCATACTGCGAAGCCGACTACCACTCCCAGTTTGGCATTAAATGTGAAACTTGTGACCGATACATCAGTGGCAGAGTCTTGGAGGTGAGTGGGTATAAGCAACCATGAAGATGTGGCAGGGTGACCTTTGCCTCCAAAAAGTCATCACAGGAGGAGAAAGTCACCCCACGCCTTTTTTCCGTAGCCTCTACCTTCTCCAGCTTTGCTTGCTCCATGACCTTGAGCAGATAATCTTGCTGAGATCTCTGGGAAACTCCAAAATGAAACGGTGGACAAAATTCTTCCTGGTTCAAAAAATGCTGTGCTGGGAAAATCAGTTGCATCTTTGATTCGGACCCAGACAGATTTCTAGAGAGTGACATTAAGATTTTCCTCCCAGCCCTGCCAGAGGATGGAACTCTTTTTTTATTTTTTTTAGTATTTGGTAATGTGCTGATATAAGAGCCAGCTTGTCTAGCAACTTACTCCCTAAGCCCTTCTTTGGTGGGTCCGTCACCATGGCAACACCTCTCCCCAGCCTTTGATGCATGACTCCTGCAGTAACAGACAACCTGCAGCACCCTTGCTGAGGCCCTGCTGAGCCCCTGTGCACTGGTCTTTCTGGCCTTTCTTCCTATCCCCTGTGGGCCTGAAAACTATCTTCCTATACTTTGGGACCACCCACCTTGAAGAATTAGAAACAGGAAAGGACTCAGTGGAAAGGAACAATAATAGCCTAACAGGAATAATTTAGTTCTGATATTGACTCTACTGCTAACTCCTGCTCAGATTTTGGGTAGTTATCTTTGCTTTTCAAGGCCTCCATTTTTCCATCTGACAATAGCTGCAGGGTCAGATTGGGTCAGATATTGTAAGCAGAATGATTACTTCTGCCAAATCTGGCCAGTTGGTTGTGGTTACCATGAGTGCCTTGTTGAGAACAATTCTGCAGCCACATGTGGACTCAGCAGGAGGGAATGTGGCAACCAGGAAGGAACTCTCTGAGGACGTGCAGTGAAGCAGAGCCCTGAGGATGAAAGAGCCATCCCTGAAGGGCCCTGAGGTGGAAAGAGACACAGGAAGAATGAGCTTTACCCATTCAAAGAACAGAGAACCCACACATAGCTACAGATTTTTTCTCAACACAGCACTCATGGTTACCACAACCAAGAGGCCAGATCTGGCTGAATTAATGATTCTGCTCACAATAGCTGACCCAGTCTGCCAATGTGGTTGAATTCTATAAATTGAGGGTAGGGAAGGATGAAATATAGTAGGATATCATATATGGCATACCATGTAGGGCTTTGTAAACCATGTTTAGGAAAGTTTGGGTTTTATACTCAGTGCAATGGAAAGCCATTGGAGAGTTTTAAACCGAGGACAAACATGATAAGATCATGTTTTTAAAAAGATTTCTCTGATTATTATGTGGAGAATTGACAGAGAGAGCCAGAGCCCATGAGATAAACAAATGCACAGAGCTGGGAAACTATTAAGCATCTCCAGGGAGCTCTAAGGAGTTAGATGCAGAGGACAAGGCCTGAGTCCAGGAAGGGTTGTTGGGGGTGGGTTTCTGAGGGCCTGGGATACCAGGGTGGAGTTTGCATGTGACTTACTGGGCAAGGGAGCATTGTGGAGAGACTGGGCAGGAATGTCCTGGTTAGAGCTGGGCTTCCGGGAGGAGGACGTGATAATGTACACAGGCTACATTTGAAGGAAGGAAGCTAGAAGGGACGAGTGAGGAGGCCCCTGCATGGCTCAGGCAGGAAGGACTCAAGAGGTACAGTAGCAATAAAGAGGGCAGCCACCCTTGTGCCCAGCCCTATGGAAGTAGAATTTCAACCACTCTGCAACTGAGGGGTAGCATGTGGAGATGGGGATTGAAGGAGAAGCAGCTAAAAGTTGCACCAAAGAATTACCTATTTCTGGGGAAAAGGAAGCCTGATGTCATCAGCAGAACTGGGGACAGCAGGGATAAAGCTGACCTGGCAGAAACATGATGAGTGCCAGTTAGGATGAGTTGTGATTGACATCCCAGGACTCAGAAATACGAATCTGAGGCTGGGAATGGTGGCTGTCGCCTGTAATTCCAGCACTTTGGAAGGCCAAGATAGGACAATCACATGAGTCCAGGAGTTCAAGACCAGCCTAGGCAATATAGTAAGACTTCATCTCTACAAAAAATAAACAAAATTAGCCAGGTATGGTGGTGCACACTTGTAGTCCTAGCCACTCCAGAGGATTGCTTGAGCCTGAGAGGTGGAGGTTGCAAGGAGTCAAAATTGTACCACTGCACTCCAGCCTGGACAATAGAGCAAGACCCTATCCCAGGCAAGTAAAAGGGGAAAAGGAGAGAAATATGGATCAGAGCTCGGGAACAAAGCTCAGGCCTGGAGGAGCCAAACTGAAAAACACAAGGCTTTGAATAACAGCAGCATCAGAGTCCTCGGGATTTCCAAGACAGAGGAAAGGAAAGAGGCTGACACCAACCTTGGCAAGCAGCTGCTTACAGGGAAAGCAACTCAGAAAGAGGCTGAGGAGGTAGCAGAGGAAAATGTGGGAGGAGAATTGAGGATTCCGTGAATGGACAGAGCTTCAGAAAACATGGCAAGGTCAGAGTGTTGATCAAACTCTGTAGAGCAGTGAAGGACTACACAGGCTGTGGAAAAGCTGCTGGGTGTGGGAAAGGTCACCTTCAGAAGTCGTTCGTTGGCTCTGCAGAACTGTGGGGAAGAGGCACCCAGAGAGTAGGGGGTTGAAGGGTCAATGGGGTGGGAGGTGCCACAAAAACAGACTTTTCTTTCCGGAAAGAAAGAACTTAGGTTGCACACAGGGACACAGATGGGAATTTGTTCAGCATTTCCAAGCTGCTTTGAAATCCTGTTGGTGGCAGTGGCTATTTCCCCAAGAGTTACCTGTTTAGCATTGTGGTGGACTGTTCCTCCCAGGCAGCTGTTGTGACTGAGTTTCCATTGATTCCATTTCTACGAGGCTCCATTAGCATCTTGGACATATTGATTTTTTTTCTTAGAGCAGGAAGAGACTTTTAACAATCACCTAGTTCAACCTCTTCATTTTACAGATTAGAAAAGTGAGACCAAGACATGCAGTGTTTTTCCAAGATCACAAGCAGCATTTCTGGTAGAGGCAGAGCTAAAATCTAGGACTCAGGCTCCTGTATCCTCACTGATACCCACAGCTCTCAGCCACTCAGGGGTCTTTGAGGGCGCACGATGTCAGGAAATAGATGTGGCTGCAGTCAGACTTGAATTTAGATTTTACCACGTCTAGCCACAAAGCCTTAAGCAAGATATTTCCTCTTAGTCTGTATCTATCAATAGACAGTACTACTGTCATTTAATTTCTAATGAATATGTTAGTCAGGACCTTCTGGGCTGAAACAGAAAGGAAATTTGTCAGCTCCTGTAACAAACAGCCCAGGAGCTGGATCTAGTGCTTAGGCAAAATCTCCAGCCATCTTGGCTTACTTTCTCCCAGGTTGAGTTTATTCTCAGGAGGGTGTGCTTGGTGGTGGAGAAGTTGGACACCAGTTGCCCCAGGCTTAGATTCTAACAGCCGGTCTCCCCAGTGTAAAATGAGCTTCTCTTTTCTGATAGCTCTGCAAGCATTCTGGGACTGACTCTCATTGGACAGTCTCAGGCCCGTCCCTGGACTGATAATTATCCCCACAAAGTTTGAATATGCTCATTGGTGGGGCCAGCACTACTTAACCCTGTGGACTGGTATGGAGGAGAGGTAGTCCCACCAAGGAAAGGCTTAGGGCTGTTTCTGGAAGAAGGAGGAAAGAATGTTGGTCAGGCAGGAACAACAGCCACCCAAGGCAGAGTCCAGCACATCGCCTGACACACTGCAGGCATTTAATTAAATTGTTTCTGCCTCTCTTCTCATCCCGTCCCTTCCCATCGCCTCCCTAGGCCACCCTATGATCCCTTCCTCAGTGACAGAGCTCAGTGTGCTGTCAGCCTCACTCCTTCCATCCTTGTCTGTTTCCTCACCAAAAAGGACCACAGCCTGGTTTACTTGCTACATATTCAAACCTGCTTTGCCGTTTTCAGTCCTCTCAAATAGGGCTCTGTTTTGAAGGTACCAGTTTTTTGCCATTTTTCTTTACTATTTTCCTGATTTCGGTTGATTAATAGACAAAATGGTTCCTCTTAGCTAGCAGACGTGGCTTTTTCTTACTCTGGGTACAAGCTGCCTAATAGCCTCCCTTTGCTCAAACTGTTTTTAATACCATCCAAGACTGGGGGTGCTGAGATGGGCACAAAACTGGGGCATCTCATCTCTTTCAGCTGGGACGAGGTAGTAGGGCATGACATTTAGGAAAATGCTAAGCTTCAGTTTTGCCAAGGCACTGTTGCCACACTGGAAAACAGGTCTATAATCAAAATGATAAAGAGACACAGAGTAGGAAGAGGCTGCTAATTAAACCGATTATCCTTGTCATGGTACAAAAGAATCAGTCCCACAACATTCCAGCTTGGGAAAATAGCAGGCTCATTCCACAGTTTGAACATATTTGCGTTGATGATGACAAGGACACTTTCTTATTGGTGTGAGGACATGTAAACAACCAAATGGGAGGAAAAAGGGGATATTGGAGATTTTTTTTCTTTTTGTAAAAGTTGGCCTTTCCCACATTCTTGCTAAGTTTTTAGAACAGAGGGAATATCTCAAGAATAGGCAAGCCCATTCCAGCGATCTCCACTCTCACCCCCCACAAAAAAAAATAGATCTTCTTATTATGCAATTATAATTTTTGAATTGGAAGAAACCTGTTAGCATCAGATCAAGTGATGTCTTGGACAGGGAACTTTAAGAACTCCTAATAGCCATCAGTTTTCCCTGGACATTACCCTCCCTCAAAGAAAACCCTGCCCTGACATTGCAAAATATTTCTTCAAACAAGGCCCGCTTTCCAACCCAATGTCTGCACCGAGCTCCTGCATATACAAATGCTGGAGCCGCCACTGAAGGGCCCTTTCACAACAAGCCCTCTTGGCTGGGATTTTGATTTCAGAATTGTGACTCCAAAAGTGGGTGCTGAGCTGGTGACTGGCTCACACAGATCCGGGCCGAACACTGCTGCTGGCTTGCGGCGAACCCTTGAGGCACAACCTTCTCTGAGGCTGTTTCTTCCCCCGATGGAAGTTTTTGCAGCTGCAAATTGTTTTCATTTTTAATTTAAATAGTAATGGGGAAGGAAAGTGAAAATGGGGAAGGGGACTCACCAAAGCCACACTGGGGTGAGCTGGGGTAGGGCTGGACACACCCAGGTGCAATAGTCACGGGACTGTCCTGGGGGCCCGGGGCTCCGCAGTGGGTCCTAAATCATCCGTTGAGCCCTAAAAATCTGTTGTTTGTATGCCAGTCTCACAATTTTTGCCATGTCTGTGAACCTCGTGTGCCCATTCTTCCATAATACTTTCAGTTGTCTTGAAGTTGGCTCTCTTATATGTAAGAAACTTATATGCAGCCTAACAGGAAAGCCAGTATCACTTGCCATATTGCAGGTAGCCTGAAAATAAATAGAGCTCTAGCTAGATTCTATTGCATGTGAAGGTTCCAAGCCTCACACCTGTTCACTTTCTTTAAAAGGAAGATTGGTAAGTTTTGGATAGATTAAAGATGCACAAGCACCAAACTAGAACTTCTTCCTTGACAAAATCAGAAGAATGCATAGAGGGATGAAAGGATCATTTTTTTCCATTGGTCCAATGTTATTAAATCCCAAGTGCATGTACCACTTAAAATCATTTCATGTACCATTAGTGGTAAGTGCCCCTCACTTGGGGAGATGCTGGGATGTCCTCAAAGCAAGCCTGTTTCCTCCTCTGGAAATGAGGAAGTTGGATCAGTGGCCTCTGAAGGGCCCTTCCCAGTGCCAGAATAGAAGTGCAGGTGTTCAGAGAAGTCCCCCGAACTGCCATCAGGGACCCATGGAGTGAATCATGAAGCTTCCTGAGTGGACTTTCAGATGGTTGTGGACTCTCCTGGGTAGCTCCAACCAACTTTAGGGCCATGAAGATGCGAACAACACTAATGTACCCAAGAAAGATTCAAACCCAGTCTGTCCCACTAGACAGCAGCCCCAACTCTGACCTCCTGTTTCATCTCTTCATTTCCATAGGCAGGAGGGAAGCACTACCACCCAACCTGTGCCAGGTGTGTACGCTGCCACCAGATGTTCACTGAAGGAGAGGAGATGTACCTCACAGGTAAGCAAATCTAACGCTCTGCAAGGCCTTCCGATCTGCTCATGACTGGAAAGGAGGTACAGCCTCCTTCAGGTTCAGCGTTATCTTGGATCTTGGCTTTTCCTCAGAATTGCAACTAATTGGCCCCTCTCTGGGTGGATCAGGAAGGTTGCCGGTGTAGCTAATATGAAGTGACATGTAATCTGCCTTCTGTCTCTGTGCACCTCCACCCACTGCCCAGCTGGCCTGCTTCCCTGGCAGCACTCTGAGCAGACTCTCCTGGCTCTGCCTGAGGGTGGGAAGCTGAGCTACACAGGGCCAAGGGGTCAGAGAACCTCAGAGGAATGCCTGGGTTGCAAAGTGTCTATAGCATTACAGCCTTGACTCCACTTCCTTCTCCCCATATCTCAGAGCATCACGCCAGGCTGCTGCTCAGGGCTTCCCAGGGACTCTCAGAATGCACAGAGGAATGAGGAGTGCCAATCGTCTCCACAAAGCTAACTAGGGCCGCTTTCCCTCGGCTGCTTCCCAGCCCTCTTGCCCCAGGAGTCTTACAACAGCCTCCTAATTATTCTCCAGATTCTGCCCAGTCCTCTACCCTCTGGCCAGGCCACCATCCAAGGGCATCACATGCACTTGACACCGTCCTGCTCTTCAGGGCCCCTCCCTGTCTGCCTATTTAGCTACAAGCACTTCTGTCTAGCATTTAAATTATTGTCGAGGTCCCAGACTTTTTTTGTAGCCTTGAACATACCCGACACCTAAGCTGCCAAAGCCAACTTTCGATCATTTATTCATCCACTCAATGACTGTTTCTTGAGCGCTGCCATGTACAGGCTGTGCTAGCATCCGTGGTGAGGCCCACCCAGCCCTACGGTCCCCTGAGGGAGAAGGGCATTAATCCATAATCACACAAATAAACATCAGCCATGGTAAGTGTCATGAAGGAGAGAAGTGTGGGGCTTCGAGAGAACATAACGGGGTAGGAGGAATATCCAGGAGGGCTCCCTGAAGAAGGGCCAGGAGCTGATCCAGATCATGAGTGGGTGTTAACTGGTGGTGTAGTTCAACCAGGCTGCTGTAACCTGAGCAGACTGAGATACTGTAGATAGGGCAGCTTATAAACACAAATGTATTTCTCACAGTTCTGGAAGCTGGGAAGTCCAAGATCAAGGGTCCTGTAGATTTGGTGTCTGATGTGGGCCCACCTTCTCAGAGACAGCAGCTTCTCTCTGTGTCCCCACATGGTGGAAGGGGCAAGGCAGCTCTAGGGGCCTCTTTTATAAGGGCACTGATCTCATGACCTAATCCCCTCCCAAAAAGCCCTCCCTTCTAAGACCATCACCTTACGGGTTAGAATTTCAACATATGAATGTGGGGATCACACGAACATTCAGATCATAGCAACTGAACAAAAGGTGGAATAGGATACACTGAACTGAGAAGACAGAGCCTGCAAGACTGGAGGTGGGTGAAGAAACAGCGCGTGCATGAGGGTGAGAGGAGCCTGTGTGGCCGGGGTGCAGATGGAAGTGAGATGCAGCTGGGAGGCGGGCTGGGCAGACAGGCTGGACCTTGTGGTGAGACTTTGGCCTTGAAAAGAACTCACAGCCCTTCCCCTTGCCTCCATGTGTCCTCCTTTGGAAATCCTATCATTCGAGGCCCAGTTCAGTCGCTACATGCTTCACAGATACCCCAGATTCCCCCAACCCCACCCACAATTTAACACAGTCTCCTCTCCCTGCATGCCCATAGCCCTCTGTCTGCCCCTGGTCCCCTCCAGCTTGTATGAGAGCTGTTGGCCTCCTCCCTGAGGTCCTGTGTTCCTGGCACTGGTCCCTCAGCCCTGACACTGGCCCATGCGTACTCCCTCCACAGGTGAGTACCATTGGTGGAATCACTGTGATTGGATAGCCGTCTTGAGAAGGAATGAGGGCCCTTCTTCCAGATAGATCTAAGGCCAGGGCAGCAGTTACAGGGAGCATGTCAGTATCAGCTTGTCCTAGCCACAATGCCCATAGCCATGAGTTCCCTCAAGATGCAGTCAGTCACCTGTGCCTAGAGCCTAGTTCCTCAGCGTCACCACAGGTGACGCTCTGGGCTTTCCTGAGCATTGTAGGGTATTTGGTAGCACCCTTGGTCTCTACCCACTAGATGCCAACAACATGCTTCTTCCCACTGACAATTAAAAATGTCTCAGATATTGCCACATGTCCCCAGGGAGTCAAAATCATCCTCAGTGGAGAACCACTGGCCTAAAGCTACTCAACAGAAACTTATGCCATCTGCTAAGAATCCTGAAGCAGGAATTCCTATGTTGGATTCAACAAAGTGACCATTTCTGAAATGAGATGCAGTCTACTTACTTTATGAACTGATGCTGGAGGGGAAAGGATCCCAGAGTCACTCTAAACTGTAAAGTGCCAACCCTCATTGTAGAGATGGGGAAAACAGACCCAGAGTAGAAAGAGACTGTGTGAGAATGGGAGCATGTAGGGGCAGCGCAGGGCCTGGCCTTGTGGCTCCCCTCCAGGGCTCTTTCCACTTTACCCCTGGGACCCAGGCCCTGCCTGACACTCAGGCCCCTGCCCCTACCTGTGCACGGTAATTCCTCGTTGCCGGGCTTCCTGGGTGATTCCTGCTGCAGGACCCAATGTTAACGAGGTTCGGCAACCTGCACTGTGCCTTCACCCTGACCACCACGGGAACCTGGAGTTTGTGCTTGACTTGGAAGCTGGTTGCATGATACTCCTCTCTCCCTTCCCTAGTGAACACACCTCCTAGTAAACTGCTCTCCCATTCTCATCCCTACCTGGATATCACTAGAATAAACCACGTCTTTGCCTCCCTGCCTGAATTCCTAATCCTAATCTTTCCCCGTTTGATGCTTTGACCCAGACGCCTCAGGGGCAATCCTGGCTCCACTGATTACTAAGTTTTTGACCTTGGGCAAATCTAATAACTCTCTGAGCCTTGGCTGCCTAATGTGTAAAATAGACCAGGAACAGCTGCTATGAGATATGGGTGTAATAATTTCCTGACAACTGGGAAGCTCCCAGTTCACTGATTTAACAAATATCTGTTGAGCATCTACTGTGTCCCTGCTGCTGTTCTCACAACTGAAGATGTGGCAGTAAGCAAATCAGACAAAGGCCCTGCCCTCATGGAGCTCACAGCCTCACTGGTTGGTGTCTTCACTCATCGAACTTCACACAGGTGCTGAAAGAGTTAAGCAATGAAGTAAAGTGAACAGCTTTGTGATCCTGAGAGAGGATGCACCATTAAACCCAATGCGGAAATGCCTCCAGGAGGTGGGGATATTCTTGGTAATGAAGACAGGCCTGTCACCCTCTCATTAATTATCCCATCCCTCTCCTCCTGGCTCCTGGGAGAGTGGGAGTAATTGCAGGGCGTTCAAGGACCTGCCTCAAAGGATGCTAAGAGATCCTGGAATGAGGGGGACCAGGCCAAGCAGTGCTAGAGTCATGCTCTCTTGGGCTGTGGGTGTCTTGTGGGGCTTCTCCTACCACTGAGATCTGGACTTTGGACACCCTTACCAAATGGGGCCACCAGCAGTCAATATGATATCCCCTAGAAGTAACAAGAAAACTCTGCTCCTGGGCAGCTCAGGAGTGTAAAGAAATGGCTGAGAGCCAGGATTCCTGGGTTCAAGCGTCAGCAATTCCACTAATAGGCTGTGACCTTGAGAAATGACTTCCTTCTCCAGATCTCTTCCTTCACCTGTAAAATGAGGATAACGTCACTGTCTGTCATTGATCCACTCAAGTTGCCTGGCTCTCTGCTACAGGTTGGACATTCAGAGATGAGCGAGGCAGGCGTGCTTGTTGCCCTGGTGGAGTTCACTCTCCAGAAAGAGAAACTGACAGTGCCAAATAGAAGCGTCAACATTCAATGACAAGCTGTGACAAGTGCCACAAAGAGAAAGTTTTGGAACAATGGGCATGTGTTATAAAAGCCTCTACTCTAGTCTGGGAAGCCAGGGAAGGTGCCCCTAATAAAAGGGATATTTCAAGCCAAGACCTTGAAAACGAGTAGGAGGTAGGAGGCTGAAAAGTGGGGAAGATTGAGGAGGCAGCGAGAATTGCGAGTGCAAAGGTCCTCCCTGGGTAGGTGGAAACTGAGGCAGGCCCACTTACCTGAGCCTATGCCACAAGGTTCTCATGAACATTAGAGGAGAAAGTGAATGTGAAGGCACTGAGGACTCCATAAGGCAACTTATATAAGAGAGAGAGAGAGTCGGGATGCCTGCAAAGCTTACAAAACCCAGCCTTGTCAGTTCTGGAGCTGGAAACAGCATGGTACTGGCAAATGGTCCTTGGGAGATTCTTTGAGTGAGTTTGTTTGTGTTTTAATTGCTATGTGATGGCTTTCTGATGGGCTCTAATTGGGAGAAGTCTGACGTTTGTCTGGAGGAGAACTTCTGGGGCCCCAGGAGACAAGAGCAAGTTTTATTTGTTTTAAGTTCTGTTGTGTATTCAATCTTTTAACTGTTTTTGTAAAGATGCCAAATATCTAATCTGTTTGTTATCCAAACCCTTCATTTGGGCTTCACCAGGAAATTAGGTCACTGATTTTGTGCAGCAAAATAATGGCCAAAACACTGCAGGTTCAGGCCAAAACTTATACTGAAATCTCAAAGGTTGCAGTTACTGGATCAGTGAGAGGTTTTCAAAATCCCAAATGTGATTCATGAGATAAATTTTGTTCTTGTTCTAAATGTGCCTGTACCCAGGAAAAGGGAGAAAATAGATTCTTTTTCTACCCTTCTGTCTACACCGAATACCCCCTGTTCTAAGACCTGAGACAATAACCCTGGAATTACACAAGTTCAGCTGCACCTTTTTAAACAATTCTGTCATCATTTGTATGTTTAACTAAAACTCACAAGGCAGGAAATCATTTATAAAATACTGGACAAACCCTGCTCTGCTAAAGAAAAGTATTATAACAAGTGGTAGGTCTCACCAATAATCATGATAATATTAATAATAAAATATTAA